GAACTGTTGCTGCTAAATGTATTCACTTCAGAATGCTATTTTTTTCATTTTCTTTTCTGTCAATTTTTATACGCGAAATTTACAGCTCCACTTTATTTATCTGTTGTGATTTTAGAAACTTATACGTTATTTCCACTTAATTTTTACTTGAGATTGACCAATTAAAAACCTTACGTTGCACCACAGCATCAACCAAACATAGCTTTTTATGAAACGAATTAGCCACAGAACTACAGGCTAAAACCAAAACTTGAAAGCAGTAGAGAAGAAATAAATAGACTTGTAAGAGGTGTAATTAGAAGTGTGCCGGGTACGTAAAAAAGGAAAAGAAATACGTACCCGTGCATGCAACCGTCGTGGACTTACCAATTATCTTGTACGAAACACTTTTAGAAACCACATTAAAAAGTTTGTAACTGGCCTCACGGCAAAGGCTGCAGATTTAAATGCCACTGACAATGTTACCGGACAATCCTACCTCACAAGCTGAGGTAATCTCCGTGATCCCTCTGGGGATAGGATTCAGAAGGTTAGGACGAAGAAGCCTTTTACTCTAAAAAGCTCTCTTTCCTCCGTCAAGTGACAGTTGGGAAGTGAAGGGAAGTTGGAGAAAAATAGAATTTTTCTCGTCAGGAAAAAGAGACGGGGGAATAACTGCGTTATTTTTCTAAGAAGAACAAAAATAAAAATAAGGAGAAAGAGGGAGAAAAAAGAAACAATAACAGAAAAAAAAAATAAGATTTTTTTTTTGCCATCTTAATCAGTGTCTGTGCAGTGAAATAAATTCTACTTCTTTTTTTGTCCTTTGTTGTATTACTTCATTAAGCAAAATAAACCAACAAAAAAGAAGATGGAAGAACCAAGGTAAAACAAAAATTTATAAGGCACAGTGGTAGCAGACGTAAAATCTTAGAATCTTTTCGCCTCCTGCTTCTCCTTTTTGATTTTTTTCCTTAGTTTATGGTCTTTCTTCGCTTGTTTAAACGTTACACAACTTTAAAAAATTTTATTTGATTTATTTGCTAAGAAAACTCAGTGTTTCATTCCATATATAGTCTTCGCTAACTCTGCTTTCACCCTTCTGAACCTAGGTACAACAAATGAACAATTTTTTCGTTCCGAGAAAAGAAAAGCGGAGGAAAGAGCGGTAAAAGAGTAAAAAAGAAAACTCTTCATTTTTGGAAACTTTTAGGCCGCAACAATGCGCAGTTGTTACAGAACCGCAAAAATTAAAACCTTTGCACACTTCCAGGTACCAAATTATTCTGAAAAGGAGTAGAATAAAAGAACCAAGACTGACAACGCAGTAATCACCACTTATTCCGTTATTATTTTATATTAACCTCAGTTTTTGATAAAATAACAGCAGGAAAAAACTCTTTACACTTCTTTCTCAACTTTTTCTGTTTCTCTTTTTCCTCCTCCTTTTTTTACCGCTCCAATCTAAAGAATTTTTAATTTTTGGATATAGTAACTCAGAAGCTCCATAGGTTTTGTTTCCCCTCCTTTCTCCACCTTCCGCATGTTTCTTTGTTTCACCGTCAACAAAACACTGCAACCTTGCACTTCAACAAATAATTGTTGGGAGACAAAAAGCAACAATAACGACAACAAAAATAACCTATAAAGACGAAAAAAAAGAGATGAAAAAAAAAGAATGAAAGAAAAAACTAAAATTTTAAGCA